ATATTAACATTAAAATGCTTAAAGATTTTATTTAATGGGTATATTTCCTAAGTGATGTATCCATGTTTTCATTAAAACTTTAAAGAAGGTTTCGTCATAAGTATCTATGGTATAAATATTATTCATCCGTTCAACCTTCCACAAATTCCAGATTATATACCTTTTTTTTTTTTTTTCTTTTGGGATATAATGGGTCTACGAAGACAACTGCTCCCCTGTTTTTTGATCGTTTGTAATGTATTCTTAGGCTATGTTGTTGTTGGACATGCTCATTCTCAAGGAAAGGCACAACCTTCCTATTTCAGCAGAACTTGGATTGCCAATTTTGGTCGATTTTCGGAACCAAAAAGGGATGAAAATCTCACCATGGACATGGAGGACGATGAAGATTGTGAAGGACCGACGCACAATACGTTTTCTGTTGATGATTATGGAGCCAAAGGTGATGGAGCTGACAGCACTGAGGTACAAACTTGAGAGATTTCCTTTTTTTTTTTTTTTTGGAAGCACAAATTGCTTTTAGTTTTAGCCTTTTTCAGTTTTGAGACAAGAGTTGCAGGTTCATATAGCACAAATTGCTTTTAGTTTTAGCCTTTTTCAGTTGTGAGACAAGATTTGCAGGTTCATATATATGCACTGAAAAAAAGTGAAAGAATACATGTGAAATTCAATTTTACATTTTTTCTTGCTTGTTTACTTGATTCTGTTTTCAATTTTATTTTGTTTTTTAGTATTTTCTTTTACACGCAATCTTTATTAAAAGTACTTTTTTTTGAAACCGGACTCCTAATTTTAGGAGGCAAGACTAATGTGCATCTTACTAACGACTAACAATTTTTGCATATATACCTCTTTGTCATGTGTCAGGCATTTAGTAAGGCTTGGGAGGCAGCATGTTCAACTGAAGGAGCTGCACTTTTGGTGCCCCAAGGGAAGATCTATCTAGTTAAGCCAATAACATTCAAAGGTCCTTGTAAATCTCCTCTCAAATTACAGGTGATCCATTAATTCAAGTCTTCAATCATGCTAATCTTAACGAGAAAGTTGAATGATTCAAAAATGGTGACTGGTGAGTGTGTAATATTAGATATCTGGAACCATAGAAGCCCCCGAGGATGTATCTGTGTACAAGGAAGATCAGCGACATTGGCTTGTAATTGAAGATGTTGAGAACTTATTGGTAGAAGGAGGTGGTACCATCAAAGGCAATGGGAATCTATGGTGGCAAATTTCATGCAAAAGAAGTGAAAAGAAAGTAAGTACCTACTAGTGCTTGGCAATTTGGCATAATCTCCTTTCTTTTGAAAATGAAACTTTTAATTTCGCTTTTAGAGGAAAATAGAACTAGAAGGCCAAGCACTTGTGTAGCCCAATGGCCACACTTCTCTTTGAGAAAAGTGATGGCACAAGTTTCGGCTTCAAATTGGGCAAATCCCCTTCCCCATCCCTTATAATTGCGTAATTCAAGATATATATATATATATATATATATAATAGAAATTGAAGAGTGACATTACATATTTTAGTGCCAACCATCGGAGCATGAGGTCATCAAGTTAATTTTTGACTTGTTTCTTTTGTTTTGCAGTCTTGCAATGATGATGGTGCCCCAACGGTATGGGTTGCGTCAAGCACTATCATACTATGCTCTCTTTTAAGTCTTCTATCTTTTTTCTCGAGCACTAGTAGCCATATGGCTTTAAAGCAATGACATATCTACCTAATTTGAATGAATTTCTCCAATTCAAGAAGTTAAGGGGCACATTTACCACCTGATAATCTTTAGGGGCTTATTATTCAACAACTGACCAAAAAGTTTGAGATCTTGTTTGTCTGTTTTTCATATTAAATTTATGTGTAACAAAAAAAAAAATTTTAAGCTAAAATTTGTAATTTGCTCCTTTGCATGGTAGACAAGAACGGGTTGTCTCTATTTTGCAATCCGCAATTACCAAAAAAAAAGGGGGGGAATGATATCCCTTAATTTATTGTTTAGAACCAAATGTTGCAAAAAAAAAAAAATCTTAGAGTGATGCTAAATTAAATTTTTAACGCTAAGTTGCTTTTTGGTCCTTATAGTATGTTGACAGTGATGGATTGCTCCCTAATTTTGGAGATTGGCATTGCAGGCTCTAACCTTCAAAAGGAACAAAAATCTGGTAGTGAATAACTTGAACATCCTGGATGCCCAACAAATGCATCTTACCTTTGACGGTTGTGTGAATGTTGAAGCTTCTAACCTTGTGGTGACTGCACCAGAAGAAAGTCCCAACACTGATGGAATTCATGTCACAAACACCCAAAACATCAGAATCACAAGAAGTACCATTGGAACAGGTACCAAACTCAACAGAAAAAATTCCTTGATTATATGTCTTGCAGGAAAAATGGTATTTCAGTCTGAACTAAAAAAAGCACATTTGCCCTTAATGAATCAGTTTTGTGCCTTGATTCATTAAAGGTAAATCTGTCTCTTCCAGCCTGAACTAGCAATTTCTTGCAGTGTTGTTTTCTAATCAATTTATATTTTCATCTTGATGAAAGGTGATGATTGTATCTCAATTGTAAGTGGATCCCAGAGGGTGATGGCCCAAGATATAACATGCGGTCCTGGTCATGGAATCAGGTTCCAAACCACTACTCTTTTCTAGACTTATCATTATAGTAATTTGGTTAAAGGTAGAGCATTTATGCCAAATTAGATTACACTAAGGTGAAATAACAATAAGAGATATTGTTTTGTAGTCCGTCTTGTATAAATTGTATTTTTTTAATGATTGATAGAGAAGTGGATTCTATCAATAATTATAAAAAGTGTAGTTTACATAAAACAGACTGTACTTCACTTTTCTATAACAATACTTTCATAACCACTGAGTTAAGCCATAATAACAAAAAATTGATCAGATCTTATAACTCCTATACATGTGGATTGACAATTTTTTTTCTTCCTAATGATTTGTTGACAAGCTCAGTATTGGGAGTTTAGGAAAAGATGGATCAGAAGATTATGTATCCGATGTTGTTGTTGATGGAGCTAAGATTTCTGGAACCACAAATGGAGTTAGAATCAAAACATGGCAGGTAAGAATAACAAAAAAACAAAAAAAAGTTTTAAATTTAAATTTAAATCCCAATTTCGAAAATTTTTCTTGTTCAATGCAGGGAGGGTCTGGATTTGCACGTGACGTAAAGTTTTTGAATGTCGAAATGAATAATGTTACGAACCCCATAATCATAGACCAAGATTACTGTGACCAGGATAAAGCTTGCAAAGAACAAGTAATCATGCTCAACATTTTACCATGGATTTTTTTAAAAATGAATCTTTAATTTGCTAATAATAAAAGTTAGGTAATCTATACTATATGATATAAAACATCAAATGAGGGAGTCTCAACAGGGACAAGCCCCGTATTTGATGACTCGTTTTTTGCAGTTGAGTTTAGTTTGAATTGCAAAATATCAAATTCATTTGCTAATGAAATTAAATTGTTTGGATGTCTGCAGAACTCAGCAGTCCAAGTACAAAATGTGCTTTACCAAAATATCAGGGGATCAAGTGCTTCGGATGTGGCAATAAAATTTGATTGCAGTAAGAGTCATCCATGTTTGGGGGTTGTGTTGCAGGATGTTAAGCTAGGAGGAGACGGTGGCGGAGTCACTGCACAGTGCGACAACGTTAATATGGACCAATTAGGAGATGTGTCTCCAAGCTGTCCTTGTTCAGCTGATAATTATTAATGAACATCATTTTCTGCGAAAAATTTAGAAATATCAGAAGATTAGTTCATGGATTTACCTTTTCATTGCGTGTAAGATTACATGTAAATGTGATTGATGTTGATTAGAAAGGTTAGAAGAATGAGATCTTTCAAAATAACAATTTATCAAGGAATTGTAAATTAATTGGTATAAAAATTTACACTTTAATTTATTAACTCGAAATTTTTGCAAGGTCATTGAGGACATAATTTCTCATTAATTCTTTAAATTTTGCTTGTCACATTTTTAATACAATACTTTTTTAAAAAAATATAAAATTTTAAATTTTAATTAATTTAAATTATATTTAATATACTCTATTAATTTTAATCAACATTTTAATTTTTGAAATAGTAAAAAATAATAAAATTACAATTATAGACATACTGAAGCATAATGCAGTATTGATAAACAAAATCTTAATTCTAACGTGAATGGTTTGCTTTTAATTATATATACTAAAGAGAATTGATTTTTAAGTATACTCAAATATACCTTAACCACTAAAAAGAAACAGTTTACCAAAGCTTTTAACTTTTACCGCAAAAATATATTTTGGAAATTAAACCCAGCAAACACTTAGACATTTAATTACAATGTCAAAAACTCTATAGAAAAAAACTACAATTATTTTAGAAAACCAACTCACAATTTGTCCTTTCTAGAATTAAAATGAAAAAGATGATTATGAAACAATACCAAATGCATTTTTTAAATTATATATCACAACCATGTAACATATAAAAACATTTTTAATTTTCAAATCCTTTCTTACTTCTCTTAGAATTTTAGTTTAATAAAATCTCAAATAATTAACAGTTAGGAATTGACAATTGAGACAGCTATTATGCCTGCCTTATTATAAGAACCATATTGTCATGTTATATGATGACATGATCTGTGTGATGATGACACTTTACCATATATTTAATTGCAATTCTCCATGGAAAGAATATGGCCAATGGCAAGGCAATCGTGGGCAATATAAAAATGAAAATGAAAGGAATCTATTCCTTTAGGTGGGAAAACGAAAGGTATCTGAAATTACTAACAAAAGTAGTCTTTCCTTGTGCCCTTCTACTTACTGTGTTTCATTGTTTTGGCCCTACTAATGATTTGGTTAGCAATGAAGGCCTCAACTCTTTGTTAAAAATGCAATTAAGCCTAAGGTAATGTACTAATTAGATATTTAATTTGAAATAAACAACAATTTAGGTTTTGTTTAGTTGGTTTGAGTTTTTGTTTTTACATTTTTATATTTAGTAATTGTTGCTATGTTTAGAGCAAATGTAATGAATTTTAATTTTTTAGATAAATTCTGATTTCTAAATATGATAATAGTTTTTTAAAAATAAAAAAATGAAAACTAAAAACTAAAACTCAAATTAATTAACTAACTAAACATTATTTAAATAATTACTAAATATTAAAAAGCCGAAAAGATTATTTAAATCTTCAATAAAGGAAGTACGTATCTTTGAAACTCCTTGCATTAAAGGATTGATGCAACTCTTTCACTCAAAAACCCTTATTTTTTATGTTTGCTGCTTTAAAATGTAAAATATCTCATATTTATTTTTTGTTTTGCACTGCTCTATTTTTAAAATTATTAATTTAAAGTTTGAAAGATAAAAATGTCTTTAATGATTTAGAAAGACATGAAGATTTACTAATGATATTCTTTTCTTTTTTCACTTATGTTTTTAAGTATATCTCACCCCAAAAAGACCCATGTTGAAAGAAGCGAATGACTTCTATGGGCTTAATCAATAACATAAAAATTTTAAGGACGAAATCAAGAAAAGATTGAAACTTATAGGGCGAATTATGAGCCATTCCCATAGAAAAAGGAAAGTCCTCATCTTAGCCTTTACTGCAAATTAGTCACCTAAATTTGCATATTTTTCACTTTCCTTTAACAGGAAAGTGTAAGTGAAGCTTCCATAAATGATGGTAAGCATAGCTGTCTGCGTGTTGTCCTTACCTGCCTCACTGTCGGTGCCATCACACTTCAATTACAGCTAACAAGTCTTCTTATACCGCGGCGCTCTTCCTTGTCTTACGGGGTCTGTCCTTGCACCCAATTATCTTCTGATTCATTTTGACTCCAAATGAGCGTTCTTTGATTCGATTTGAATCGAAGACCAGCTGGGGAGATCAATGCGGTTCTTGTTTTGCTGATTCTGGATCGCATTTCAACTGGGTGTTTAGTAATTTGTTTTGAGCAGCATGGATTCTGCAGCAGATACAGGGGTCAGTAAAGTTTTTAAGATCTTTATTTGCATAGATCAAGATCAAATTTTTGGTTTTGGGTCTCTAGCTTATTAGCATTGTTGCTGCTCTTTCATAGTGATTTGTTATTTGTGTTGAAGATCTTGTTATTTGCTGCCCCGTTTGGATCTTTGAAGAGGGATGGGGAAAAAGAATGAAATTTACTTTTGAAATTGGTTCAAATTTTATGAATCTAGCTTTCCTCTTATTGATGATTTGGAGATCTAAAATGGTTCTTATGATTTAATTCTCAGATCGTTTTTTTGTTGGATTTGATTCCATTAGATCTCTCATCTTATTTATGTTTGTCTAATGTAGCATATGTAATAATTATCTTGTAAGGTTCATTAGTTGCAGTGAAAGGTTATCAATAAGCTGATCATTTATTTTACAATTCAATGAAACTGGAAGTTCCCCACTCTTTCTCTATGCTTTCAGTGGGAATCATGATGCTGCATTGATAAACGAATAATGATAGTTTGGATCTGCATAATGCTCTTTTGAAAATAGAAAAAAAGAAACGTGTTTGACTTTTGTTGTTCAGGCGAAGTCCAACAAAACTGGGGGGCAGATTTGCCAGATCTGCTGTGATGATGTTGGTGTTAGTGCAGATGGCAAGCCCTTTGTTGCTTGTCTAGTTTGTGCATTTCCTGTCTGCCGTCCATGTTATGAGTATGAGAGAAAAGATGGAACCCAATCTTGTCCTCAATGCAAGACCAAATACAAGAGACATAAAGGTTAGTTTCTCGTTATCTTATTAAATCTACCATAAATGATTTCGGAAAGAGTTTATATATTTGCTTTTTTTTTTTGGTAACCTTCAGGAAGCCCTCCAATCAGTGGGGATGAGGTGGAAGATTCTGATCCTGATGATCTGGCAAACACTATAAATCATTTATCACGGGTTGAGGGTGAGAAGCATCCAAAACCGGAGCGAACATTGAGTTGGGATACCAACTATAGTCGAGGGGAAGATGTAGTGCCACCAAACTATAGTAAAGAAGTTCCTCTTAACCACCCTCCTTTTCTTGCTAATGGAAGTTCGGTGAGTTTGCAAATTATTTCTACATGATTTCTGGTTGTATCTCTCCTAGATTTGATGGTAAAGTTATGTTGCCTCTTTATATGAGTTTCAGGTTTCTGGGGAGCTGTCTGCTGCATCTCCTGCACGTCTCTCAATGGCATCTCCTGAGAGTGGGATCAGGAAGGGTATGCATCTGCTCCTTATTAGAAGATATCTATAACAAATGCACCCTTTATTAGTATGATTTACTTTATTTTTACTTTTTTGGTTCAAATTTTGATACCATGAAATGGGAATAATATCTTTCTTGGTTGATCCAGCAAGAGATTCTGGGCCCTTAGGTTATGGCAATGTAGCCTGGAAAGAGAGGATTGATGGTTGGAAGATAAAACCAGAGAAGAATGCGGCTCCAATGAGTGTTACCACTGCCGCCCCTTCAGATGGAAGAGGAGGTGGAGATTTTGATACCAGTACTGATGTACTTGTTGATGATTCTTTGTTGTAAGTGCTTCACTTGATGTTTTTCTGATACCCAGCAGCAGTGTGTGTGTGCTTTTGAATTTTGTCTGAAATTTAATATTTTCATATTTCTAATGCTTCTGTTTTTCTCCAATATGCCCTGCTATGTATTTTTTCCAATTTGTTCTTATTCATGCATTTTTTTTGGTTAAAAATGCTTGCTAGGTTATTTTTTCCCTTAAAACTTCTACTTCTCTACTCCTGTAATGCAGAAATGATGAAGCCCGTCAGCCTCTATCCAGAAAGGTTTCTCTTCCTTCGTCTAGGATTAATCCTTATAGGATGGTCATTGTTCTGCGGCTCATTATTCTTGGTATTTTCCTGCACTATCGTATAACAAATCCAGTTCCCAATGCCTTTGCCTTGTGGTTAATATCCGTAATCTGTGAGATATGGTTTGCAATATCATGGATATTGGATCAGTTCCCCAAATGGTTTCCTGTGAACCGTGAGACATACCTTGATAGGCTGGCTCTAAGGTAGTTTTTGCCTTCTTAACTTCACTGAATTTTGTATTGCCTTTTTGAGTTCTGTATAAAGCTTTCTTCTCCAATTTGTTGATAACTTGCAGATATGATCGAGAAGGAGAGCCATCTCAGCTGGCTGCTGTTGACATCTTTGTTAGTACAGTGGACCCGTTGAAGGAACCTCCACTGGTCACAGCCAATACAGTGCTATCCATACTTGCAGTGGACTATCCAGTTGACAAAGTATCATGCTATGTTTCAGATGATGGAGCTGCTATGTTAACATTTGAAGCTATGTCTGAAACTTCAGAATTTGCACGGAAATGGGTTCCTTTTTGCAAGAAATACAGCATTGAACCACGTGCTCCAGAATGGTACTTTACACAAAAGATTGACTACTTAAAAGATAAGGTTCATCCTGCATTTGTCAAGGACCGCAGGGCTATGAAGGTAGATAATTTTAGATTCCTTTAATTTAGTCAATTTGCTACTCACATATTTATATTTTCTAATGAATTTATTTTTGATTCAGAGAGATTATGAAGAATTTAAAGTTCGTATAAATGGGCTTGCTGCAAAAGCTCAGAAAGTTCCTGATGAAGGATGGGTCATGCAAGATGGTACACCTTGGCCTGGAAATAACACCAGAGACCATCCCGGAATGATCCAGGTTTGTCCATTTTATGCTGGCATGCTATGTTTCTTACAAGAAGGGCCTGTGAAACAATAATATTGCTCAATTAAGATTCTTCATGTCTGTTATGAAGGTAGATAATTCTAGATTCTTTTTATCTAGTCTATTATTGTTACTTTGTTATTTTCAGGTTTTCTTAGGACATAATGGAGGGCTTGATAGTGAGGGTAATGAGCTTCCACGCTTGGTCTATGTGTCTCGTGAAAAGCGCCCTGGTTTTCAACATCACAAGAAGGCTGGTGCTATGAATGCACTTGTAAGTTGTAAAGGAATTGAGAGGTCCAAGAGATTCTTTGTTTTATCATGGTTGGCCTTTAACATTCTGTTCATATCCCTTTTCAGGTGCGTGTATCAGCAGTTCTTACCAATGGGCCCTTCTTGTTAAATCTTGATTGTGACCATTACATAAACAATAGCAGGGCACTTCGAGAAGCCATGTGTTTCTTAATGGATCCTAACCTTGGAAAGTCGGTTTGTTATGTTCAGTTTCCACAGAGATTTGATGGGATTGATAAAAATGATCGATATGCCAATCGTAACACTGTATTCTTTGATGTAAGTTCCTTTTGCAATTCATGGCATTAAAAATTACTTCTAGTGTCCTGATTTTATGATTTTGGGTTGTGTACACAATAGTTTAATTGCATATTCCTCTTGTGAACTTTTTTAGATAAATTTAAGAGGCTTCGATGGCATCCAAGGCCCTGTATACGTGGGTACGGGATGTGTTTTCAACCGAACAGCCTTGTATGGTTATGAGCCTCCTATCAAGCCTAAGCATAAGAAACCAGGACTATTGTCTGCCTGCTTTGGTGGATCACGAAAGAAAAGTTCTAAATCAAGCAAAAAGGACTCCAGTAAGAAAAAGTCAGGAAAGCATATGGACAATACTGTGCCAATATACAATCTGGAAGATATAGAAGAAGGGATAGAAGGTATGAACTTCAATCCACCATATCTGTAGCTTAACTTGGATATTCTATTGCTTGATATGATAACAGGTTTTTATCTGGTGCATATTTTTTCAGTTAAGAAATTTCTATGCGGTGCCTGGTTGTTTTCTCTCTTTTTTCTTTTTTCTTTTTTTTTTTTCCCACTCTTTCAGTGGGACTTATGTTTTTCAGTGGTGTTTGCAAACAAGTGCACTTAGGGTTCAAAATTTTATTATTTCATTTTTCTTCAGTCATGTTTACTTTAGCACATTATGCTGAAACACAAAAGCAGAACATAAACAGTTGCGGTTACATCATTATCTCTTGAAGAGTTCATGAAAAGGAAACACTACTTAGACCAAAAAACATTATCCAATAAATGCCACCCTAAACAAAGAATATAATAATATGTATGTTTGTGTGCGTGCGTCATCTAATTGTTATGTTGTTACAACTAGAGACTAACAAGCAAAGTTGTCAATACCGTACCAGTATATGTACCAGTTTTGCTACTGGAATGGTACGTACCGGATACCGGAATTTTTCACGTATCATTTTGGATTTATCGTTATAAATATATATTTTTATAAATTATATTCTTAGAAATTGAAAACAAGTTTAAAATAACCAATTTTATAAAATATTCATAATTTTTTTCTTTTTTTTGAACATTAAATATGTATATTTATTATTTAGACAAACTTAACTGAATAACTGATAAAAAAATTAAAAAAATACATCTTTCATAGTTAATGGACTAAAAAATTATATAAAAAAAAATTAAAGAATGAAAATTACATAAAACTTTAAAACTTTAAAATTAAGGACCAAAAATAAACTTTACTTTCAAATTTGAATTGCTTTTGTACTGGCACATTTTTTAAATTTGAATTGACTTTGTACTGACACATTTTCCAATTGAGTAATACTAGAGGCACTAACCAATTGCACTCTCCAACCAACACTTCCATTTTCATTGGTCCACGTTATTTTGGTTGAAAGAGGTGGATTTCATAGCCTTCAAGCAAACTTACGTGGCCCAATAAAAAGGCATTTGTTGGTTGGAGAGTGCAAGAAGCGAGTGGCCCTAGCACTGCTCTTTCCAATTTGAATTGATTTCTTCTACCGGCACATTTTCGGTGTATCGGCTGGTACACCAAAATGTCAACCGGTACACCAAAATTTGACTGAAATTGACGAAATTTAACCGAAACGAAATTGAATTTTGTACCGTTTTGGACTAATACAAAAACCGGTACAGCTGGTACGAAACGGTATTAATAACTTTGCTAACAAGTAATGCTAAACCACAAGAAATAAGTAGATTAATGTTGCTCTGCTGAAGAAACAGGGCAGTTGACATTAATTACAGAAAGTATTGCATCCTATACAGCATATAGAGAGAAAGGAATAGAAGAACATTTAGGCAGGAATCCCATAGGTACTCCTCTGGAGCTAGTTCATTAGATTTTCAGTTTATTTAGTTTTTATTTAGTGCAAGGAAATGATAGTTAAGTGAACATCCTGGTATGCCCTGGTGATTTGATGTATGCCTTTTTGATTTAGTGGAATGAAATCTTGCCATTCCCAAAAAAAAGTAGATTAATACTGTATTTAATTGAGCTTTTTAGATTTTATTTTGTAAGGTCTTACACTGATCTTACACTGATAGAGTTGTGTCTTTATTTTTTGTACAGGTACTGGATTTGATGATGAGAAGTCACTACGTATGTCACAGATGACACTAGAGCAAAGGTTTGGTCAATCAGCAGCCTTTGTGGCTTCAACACTGATGGAAAATGGTGGGGTTCCACAATCTGCAACTCCAGAATCTCTCCTGAAAGAAGCTATTCATGTAATTAGCTGTGGATATGAGGACAAGACAGACTGGGGAAGTGAAGTAAGATGCCTCCATTTTTTGTTTCTGGAATTACTTTGATAATTTCTACTTTTACCGTCTGAGCAACTTAATTGATTTTGAATGTGTGGACCAAAAACATGTGAACTATGTGTGGCAGAAACATTCAGTTGGCCTTTGATGAAGAACGAAACTCTCAAAATACATTTTGAGCACAATAATTAATTTTTCTTGGCAGAACATCCTTCTTTAATGGCCTTCTATTTATTTTTATTTTGTCCTATGGTCTTTGAAAATTTTATGGGAGATCTGACATCGTTTTGTTTTCTACTTTTGTTCCAAATATAGTTGTTAGTTGATAACAGTGTAATATTGATATCTCTTCTTCGTCTAATTCTGGATATTGAGCTAGTTATACATATTTTGCAGATAGGGTGGATCTATGGTTCTGTTACAGAGGATATTCTTACAGGATTCAAGATGCATGCTCGAGGATGGAAATCCATTTATTGCATGCCAAAACGCCCTGCCTTTAAAGGGTCTGCTCCAATTAACCTTTCTGATCGTCTAAACCAAGTGCTTCGGTGGGCTCTAGGTTCAATTGAAATTCTATTCAGTCGCCATTGTCCTATTTGGTATGGCTATGGGGGAAGGCTGAAATTTCTTGAGAGATTTGCTTATATCAATACCACCATATATCCAGTTACGGCCATTCCCCTTCTTCTCTATTGTACGCTGCCAGCTGTCTGCTTGTTGACTGGGAAGTTTATCATTCCACAGGTAAATAGAATTAGATTTTTGTGCTCTTTGATCAATCTTTCTTCTCAGTCATGATATTTAGATATCACTGTAAAACTTGTAAACTCTAATTGAGTCAGAAAAGTTTTGGTAGGAAAGTGTTCTAGAAAGACATTAAAATGGCCTATTATTGAGATGAACAACAAACTCTGAGATTAACTGTGGTGGTTTGTGATTTAATTGCAGATCAGTAACATTGCAAGTATATGGTTCATATCTCTCTTTCTTTCGATCTTTGCTACTGGTATATTGGAGATGAGATGGAGCGGTGTCGGGATTGATGAATGGTGGAGAAATGAACAGTTCTGGGTTATTGGAGGTGTGTCGGCCCACTTGTTTGCAGTTTTCCAGGGTCTACTTAAAGTCCTAGCTGGCATTGACACCAACTTCACTGTCACCTCTAAAGCATCTGATGAAGATGGGGATTTTGCTGAGCTCTATATGTTCAAGTGGACTACTCTTCTCATCCCACCAACCACTCTCCTTATAATTAATATTGTTGGAGTAGTTGCAGGAGTCTCTTATGCCATCAACAGTGGTTATCAGTCTTGGGGTCCACTCTTTGGCAAGCTATTTTTTGCTTTCTGGGTGATTATTCATCTCTACCCCTTCCTCAAAGGTCTTATGGGACGTCAGAACCGAACGCCTACAATTGTTATTGTGTGGTCGGTTCTCCTTGCTTCTATCCTCTCACTTTTATGGATTCGAATTGATCCATTTACAACTCAGATAACTGGCCCAGATGTAGAGCTGTGTGGAATAAACTGTTAAAGGAACAAGAACAAGACAACATGATAGAAAGATTATGTGTAAGCTTTATTTGGATATCCTCAGGAGAAAATCCCAAAGGTATTTGCTTTAAGTTCTCTTATACTCGTTTTGGAATGTAGGTTGTTGTGTGAGGAAAACAAACAGGATGTGGGTTCTAATGCAAACCCACACATTTTTACTCAAGTTTCATTTTTTTAATATCTTGAGCTAATTTATTTGTGTATTTTATGGTCATAAGTGACTAGCTGCTCCATATGATCCTGTTGTTGTTTGCATATTCCCTGATGGGTTATATATGATATAAAAAATTGATTCTTATATTTGTTTGATCTCCTCTTGCCTATTTGCAATGAGACATTGAATCCAGATTCATATTGTATTCTTTATTTTTGGCCACTGGTTTTGCGTTGGTCCAGCTCTCACAGTGTTCTTCTTTTCCAAGGATGCTGTTGTTTAGTGCCCGTTTGGTGTGGTTGGAGTTTTTAATAGAAGTTCTGTAGGAAAAAAAATATTGTAAAAGTGTTGTTTTTGTAAATAAAAAGAAAAATAAGGATAAAATAAAAATAATGTGTTAATTTCATTAAAATTCAAATGAAAAACTCATGTAGAAGCATCGATTTGATGCTTTTGGGATTCACAATGAAATGAACAAAAAACTAATTTGTGAGAAGTTGTAATATTTTTCATAAGTGGTACTAGTTTGGTGAAGTTAGAGCTTTTGGAGTCCAAAAAGATTTCTTGAAATTCAAAAGGATTTCCTACCATCTGTACCGAATATAGCCTTAATTATATATAGTGCCTTACTTTTATTTGATTATTGAGACAATTTCTATTAACACTAGAATATAGAATGCTAGAAACTTCTGTTGAAGTTCAAAATTTCTAGCGTGTTTTTAACCTGTCTGGTAGCAGAGGGGGTGAAACACAACTGACACCTTGTCCGTGCACTGAGTCTAGGCATGTCTATCGGACTTCCTTTCCCCAGACTATCAAAATAAGCAAGCCTTCAGGACCATGGTTGGATATATCAGATCCTGAAACCTGTGTTTCTCACTAACATTTGAATCAGCTCGATTAAGGAGCTGTTTTGCTAGAACCAGGAACCAAGTAAATCTTTTTTCTAGGCTTGATTTCTAACAGATCAAGTCCAGCAGAACCATGATTAACTCATGAACTTAGATATATATGCTTGACACAGGGATGTACAGTTTTTTTTTTCTTTTCTTTCAGTATATCAGATAGTAGGTTATATAATAAGGGGATAGCCTTCCCTTTTTTGAAACCTCTCCCACCCATCCTTAGAAGTCAAACTTGAGATTTCTAATATGAAAATTCCAACTTTTAACCACTTGAACATCTCTTAAGGAACGGAAGTGCAATCTTTATCTTAACCTGTGATTTGTTACTATCACAGACTACGTATTTTCTTCTTGTTTCTCTCTTTTAAAACAAAAAGGAAAAGTAGCCAAGAGCTTTTGTCTAAGGGCTTATGATTACTGATTTGAACAATAGAATCTACTTGTTGGGATCTTTATGATTACCGAAAGATATACCAGTAAAGATAAATAAGGAATCTTGCTAGCAGAAACAATCGAGGGTGGACTGTTTTGATGCTTTATTACTTGTAGTGTTTAAAAAAGGAACTAGCAACGGTATGTTCGTGTAAGCTTTAGAAAAAAGAAGCAAAGATCAATAGCATAGAACACGAAGTTATGAAAGTTTTGCTTTTGAAAAAGCGATTGTTGTACTGCCTTTTTTCTACTGTACATGTGGTGGAAATCATATTCTCAAGGGAATACGCTAATTAGCTTTGAGTCTTTGACATAAGAAGTTTTGAAAATAGGTTTTGCATTCTATTATATAATTTAAATATAAAAAAGTGTTTTTGGGTATGGACTATACTTTCTTTTATAATCTAGGTATTAAAATTACCAAAATTCTTTCATTGAAACTGCCTTCTATGTTTATTCATTAATGGTGTTTGGTTAATTTCAATACTCGAATTGTACAAAAAAAAAAAAATGCAGCCCATACTAAAAAGCACTTTTCTCTAATTTATGTCTGTTTAAAAAAAAAAATGAAGAGAATGTTTGTCAATTATACCCTCTCTCTGGAGAAAAGGTAAAAGAAAATCAAAGGGGTAGAACTACTGAAAGTAAAAGGAGTGTCTGTTGTGTGAAGGGTATACCTATAACGTAATATCCTCAGTCAATAGAAAAATATCACCTCAAAAACCTCTATAGATAATTTACACCTCAACATGAGATGCAAAGATTTTTAAGGTGTTAGCTTTTTAGAGATGGCCATGTCATAGGTAACACGGGGTACAACAGAATTTTTCCAAGTAGCAGAGGGAAGTAATGACTGATGAGGAAATACATTATTAGCTTTGTAACAAAAACATTACCCTATTCTTGCTGGTTTTGTAGTAAAGGTAGATAATGATACATTGCTAGACAAAAGCAGCTAGAGTTCACCTTTTTCTGCTTGGGCTAATCACTTTGATAACATTCCCACCATTACAATAGAACTTGGACTTTTCTTCTATTTCTATCCTTTACTGCTTTGCTTCTTCTTTTGCTGGTTTTGATTCTTCTGGGGGAGGAGGAGGAGGAGCACTGGGGATTCCACCATCAATGCAACTCCTGCACTTCTTCTCTACCCAGCCTTCTATGTCATGCTCTCCACTGCCACCAAAATGCCTTCCACCACACAGCCGAGCTATGATTCCTGCAATAACACCTATGATGGTGATAACTGCCAGCACCACCACCAGTGTTTCAATGGATCGATGTGTGTACCGGCTTGGTGGCTCTGCCACTGCTGGCGGTGGCTGCACCACTGGTGTGAACTGATTCTCCACTGTCCCCATGAAGACAACCACCACACTTGAAGACAACCACCACACTGTCTTCCCTACAAAGTCCTAAATACTTATATTACTGAAAAAGAACAAAGGAAGAAAGAAAGAAAGGAGTCACAGCCACAATGAGATGTTATTTAGGAGAACATAGGGGCTACCTCGAGAGAGTAGGACAGATATGAAAGTTAGAAGGCAAAGTAGTCTGAGACTTTCTGCTACAGAGAACAAAGAAAGGGAGGAAGGAGTGAAACTGAGATGCTAAGAGTTGAAGATTTTGGAGTAGAAAACAGGTACTCAGGTACTCTAGGGAGATTGTTTCTGTTTGAAACAATAGAACGGTGCTGGGGAGTAAATAATGGGGAGAGAGAGAGAGAGAGAGAGAGAGGGAGAGAGAAGCATCGTTTTAAAGGTGGGAGAAAACTAAACAAAAAGACTATCCTTCGGTCCAGACTGGCTAATTTTAATGCTGGGACATAAAAAGATAAAAAAAACCAGGCTTGATGATCGTTAAGAATATTTTTAAATTTTCATAGCCTGAATGAAATTCAAGGGACTCAACTCAACTAAAATAGGATTCCAAATTAAAAACCATTGCGCATATACTTTTGGTACTTTGGATCTTCTTGTGGGATTATTGCACTCCAATCTTTTGATTACTTTATCTGCTTTGTTGATTACCTACCTAAATGGGTGTGGTTTTTGAGGTTCAAAAATATAGCTGAAGGCCTAAAGGTAATGCATTTATTTTCAATGTAAAGTTAAACAAGGACATTTCAAAGTTTCAAACATGTCAGTGGGTGTATCTTGAATTTCTCTGTGACCCTAAAGTGAAAATCTATTGATTTCTCTTCCCAACTTGTCCTTAGTGCTATCACATGTTGGTTTTATGTAGCTGAACTGAACCGAAGGAATCCCAATATCAAGTGTATTTTTTTAGAGTATTAAAACTTTCCCAGTCCGTCCCTTGTTATTTGCCTTTTTCCTTGTCTGTTTATGTGTTTTAGTCTGTCAAAGTGGTAGGAGATATTGACAGGTAAGAATCAACTAAGCCACCCCATTTGACCCAGGAGGGGGCTAGTAGTCCTGGCTGAGTATTCAGATGCGTCAATCCAAGCAGGGTATGGATTTAGTTATGGATTCAGCCTGCCCATTTTCTTCCTTTTTCATCTATGTATATGATTTGTGGATTGTTGATTCTATTAGCTATTTTGGTCTATCTCAAGATTCGGATCAACCTCTAACTTGAAAGCTAAGTTATTGTTAGTGTTAGTGGTAACAACAAGATAAACATATTATTATTTTTGGTACTAAACATCTCAGTATTTAAAAGTTATGTTAGATTCTAATTAATATAGAATTGAGACGCGTTAAATTCTATAAGGGTGAAACTCTCTTAACATTTATTATTCTATTTACAATATTTAAACTTAAGATTTTATTTAAAAAGAATTGAACTTTTTTTATTTGAACTAATAAGTCATTGATTAAAGATAAACATATTCTAAATAAATAAAAAAAAGTGTTTTATAGTATAAATTGTATAGCATAAATTATGAAATAAGTGGGTCTCTTAGATGCAATTATGAGTGCATGCGTCTGCTCAACAGTGCTGTAGCTATAATAGTATGTAAATTATAAATTTATAGTTATAATATATCATCAAATACATGAATATATAAAAAATATATAATAACATATCAAGATTATATCCTTATAATATTACATAATTATATTATTTTTGTAAATACAAACTATGAGTACCTTTTTTAGTGCAAAATATTATCCATGCATTAAATAGAAATATTGGAAATGTTTTTTTATAGAATTCTAACCTGACATTGTCATAGGCATAGATGGGTTCAAAAATATGTTTCAAAACAAAAGGGGTTCAAACATAAAAACAAACAAATAATAAAGTGGAACAAGTCAACCAAACAAGGCAAAAGTTTTCATTCATGGTTTGATTCTTGACCAAAGCACCCCCCCAAGCCCATCTGTCTCCAACCCAATCCAGGGGAAGAGACCATGTGCAGTCCCTCAAATTGTTTGGATTAAAGGCCTGCATGAGTTCCCTCAAATTTATCCAAATTTTCAATACTTTCTCTTCTATAAATGTTTCATACATTTTTTTTTCTTTTTCACGTCTGATAATGGAATGTACACAGATAACAGCATTTTTACTCAAATAAAAATTTTAACTTTAGATCTTTATTGTTGATTCTCAAGTTTTTAATAGGTGATATTTTGTTGATTACCTTTATGGTACTTTATTAAAAACAAATAATTTATAAGTGGGATATGTATAAAAGCGAGAGAAGAATATTTTAGAGAATTTATACATACACGAAGAAATGGAAAGGTATATGTTCAAAAAAAGAAGAAATGGAAAGGTATGAAAAATTATGCAGATGGGATGTCTACCTAGCCTTTTAAAACACCATGCATAAGTCTATTAATTATAGATATTGTAATACCCCAAATGTGGGTTAATGAATTAAAAGATTTTGACATTAAATGAAATAAAGTTTAGTATTTTATAATTTAAATTATATTTAATTATAAAATATTAATTATTAAATAAATAATATCTAATTATTAATTTTAAAAAAACTCTATCATCATCTCATGATTAATGTTTTTATAATTTAAATTATATTTAATTATAAAATATTAATTATTAAATAAATAATCTCTAATTATTAATTATAAAAAAACTCTATCATCATCTCATGATTAATGTTTTTATAATTTAAGGTAATTTAAATTATAAAATAATTTTTTCTAACATAATTATAAAAAGTTAAGAGTACCGTTTTTATTGATTCATCGATGAAGGGACAGACTTTTTATTATTGAGTATCAATCATTCAATAATTAAATGTTTTACCGTGTGTCCGTACGATTAACTACAAAATAAGTTTGTGAAATAGTAAGTATATTAATCTTTTTCTTTTTGATCGATTTCGTGTGAGTTGGGAATTAGGATGTAAATACACGAAGGTGTGTTTGGCAAAACCTCTTTTTATGGCTTTTAGGCACTTTTTTTTTTTCTTAAATTTAAAATTTGTTCACATAAATTTAACACTTAAAATACTTAAGCAAGTGTTAAAAAAAAAAAAGAAACATCTCATAACATAACATTTCTAAAACTTACCGATAAATACATTAAATACTAAAAAGTAACATTGGCTTTGCTTTGACAAAGCAAAAACAAAATATAAAAAAATGAAAAAGGGCAAAAAAGAAACTGTTGGGTGTTAGCTTCGTTAAACCAAACATGCCTTAAAAATTATTTTTTTTCCTTTCTCTTGTGCATATGGTCAATTAATTTATTTTCCTTTTATAAAGTCTCTAATGGAAGTCTATTCTTCAACGACCTCACCCTTCCACCTTCTTGACTTCGCGGCTTCTTCGTTTCCTTTCTAAATCCGGGGGATTCTAATGCTTCAGAGAGACGATTCTTAATCCTCGCAACAAATCCAGGGCATCCAAAACATTCTTCCCGTTAATCCCGAATTCCTTCTTTGGATTTCGCTGCAATCTCTTCTCCACTTTCCTTTCCCGGCTCTGAATTTCCATGGGAACTCCAGAATTCCCTGACCTTGGAAAGCATTGCAGCGTTGACGATTGTAAGCAGATCGACTTCTTGCCCTTCACTTGCGATCGCTGCCGCCAGGTACCCATTTTCTCTCTTTCTATATTCGTCTAGAAATTTCCCTCCTTTTTCTTGTTTTATTTATTTTCTATATTTTTTAGGTTTTTTAGTTTAATTCTGTTATGTTGTTAAGAAGATGTAGGATTACTTTGGTGTTGAGTTCGAAAACAAGGTTGGGTTGATTCAAAGTAGCAAAATTTTTAATTATTTTTTCTTGTTTACTTCAAGTTTCAAAATTTATTCCTTGTGTGTTTCTTGGGTGTGGATTGAATTCTTGTTAGAATCAAGAGAATTATTAAATTTGATGAATTCATGTAAGGGTGGTTTAGGTGAATAGTGTTGGTCAATGCTTGAGGAGTTGGGGTTGGTTAACTGCACAGCTGCTTAGTACAATTTTAATATGTTAAGGGGTTATTTTTAAAATTCTATCATGTTCCTTTTATGGCTCAATGGATGGTTTGTTTGTTTTTTATTGTTTGTTGGAGGTCTTAACTTCGAGCATTGAACAGGTGGGGAGGGATTGGGGAAAAGGGGGCTTTCTATGTTGCATAACTCATTATCATAGGAAAATAATAATAATAATAAAATAAAAAAATAAAACGAAGAAGAAAAAGGGAAATCCATGTCTTATGTAAGGAAACCAATTTAAGGTGAGAGTAATTCCAATTTGAATTGATCAATATTTTCCCGTTAATGTGACCTAGTAATTTCAGGTCTCTGTCTTCATGTGTTCTACCTCTAATTGTGCTTTGATTTTTTGAAGTTAGTGTATAGAGAAACTAATGAGATGGTGCAATGGACAAGTTTGTAGTAAACTGAGTTCTGTTCAACCTTTTTCTTTTTTGATCTTTTCGGTTGTGGATTATTCTCATAACAATACTATGTCGAATTCTTTTGATACCTATTTGCTTTTATCTTTCTCTTCGTTTTGATAGAATACGCGAAAATCTTTTCACAGGTTTATTGCTTGGAACACAGAAGCTACATTAAACACCATTGCCCAAAAGCTGACAAGAAAGATGTTACTGTTGTCGTCTGTCCACTTTGTGCTAAAGGAGTTCGTCTAAATCCTGATGAGGATCCTAACATCACTTGGGAGGCTCATGTTAATATAGAATGTGATCCATCTAATTATGATAAAGTCAGAAGGAAGAAAAAGTGTCCGGTGCCTGGCTGCAGGGAGGTCTTGACCTTCTCAAACACTATAAAATGTAGGGACTGCACCAGAGACCATTGCTTGAAGCACCGTTTTGGGCCTGACCACAAATGTCCAGGACCCAAGAAACCCAATTCAGGTCTTCAATTTATCAGTCTTCTAAATAGGAGTAGAAAGGAAGAGCCAAGGCCCAACCGTGCTTCATCCACATCTTCTTCTAGGTGGTCTAGCATTCTCAATGCAGCTTCAACTGCTCGAGCCTCGGCTGAAGCACGCATGGCAAAATTGAGTGGTGAAATTAGCCAAGTGTGGAAGTCAGCAAGGGATGGAATGGGGCAGGGTAGTAGCAGTAGCAGCAGCAGCAGTGGGAGGGCAGGAATAGGGGAAATGGAGGAATGCCCACAGTGTGGTGCAAAATTTTCCTCAGTTACTACTTTGGTGGAGCATGTTGAGAAAGAACATGAAAGGAACAACAGCCAGTCTCGTGTCTTCAATATGTCTATCGATGTTTGTCCAAAGTGTAGCAAAGGGTTCCGTGACCCAGTAGCCCTTGTGGAGCATGTTGAGAGGGATCATTCTGGTACTTCAAGAGCTTAGAAGGGTCTGGTACATCAATTCTCTAAAATGCTCCTCACTAGGGATGGAACTGTATTACTTTTTTTCCTTTTTTTTTTACTTCCGTTTCTTTTTGAGCTGCATGGTGGAATGTTGCATATGAGCATTGAATTGCCGATGCAAACCTTTCTTCAACATTCAGTTGATTATACCACTTCAAACTGTAATTTGAGGCTTTCATGATTGATGCATTGATGATTATTCTATCAACAAATTCTGCATATGCACTCAATAATGCTAGATGCTTTTAATATAGATCAGAATTGTTCTTCAACCTCACAAAAATGGCCTCGGTTGTGAAGCCATTTCTGATAGAAATTTGATGCAACAATTTAATGATATTCACAGAGGGCACCATGACGCTGGAAAACGCCTGCCAGTGACTTCCCCTGAACTCACATCTAACAAGAAAAACCCATGTTCTCCTCATGTTTGAACTAACTAATGCAGCGGATGGCACTTGCAGCGTCAGCTGCATTGGATGGTGCACCAAAATCCATGGCAGTAGTATGGTTCAAGTCCCAGAGATTACATCTTTGCTTTGTAAAAGTTTCCCCTTCCCTTAAATTCCCCAGTGTTACATTAAAAAAAAAAGAAAAAAAGAAAAAGGGGGAAAGGAGGGAAAAAACACTTCTAAGGAACGGGTTTGTGAGGTTTGCCACAATTAGAGGTGAATCACCTGATGGCTAGAGAATCAATCACTTTACAATTGATGGACTCTACATATATAACTAAATAATATATTTAATTTGTATTTAGTGTGTTTCAATGTAATCAATTTGTTTTTTTATATTATCTACCATACAACTTATATGTAAAGATTACTATATATAATTTTCTATATATTTCAACATTATAGTAAAATGTTATTCTATTCTTTATTCCTTTAGGTTCTTAGGGATTGCCTTAATGATTAAAAACTTAAATTTTTATATTAAAAATAAAAATTTTAAATTTTAAATTGAGTAAAAAAAATGTAAAATTTGAAAGACTATCAC